AAAATAACAAGACTTTTTCTTTGCAGGCTTAGAATGATTTTGATAACTATATCCACAAAATAGAGAGTTCCCATTTGGAAGAAAGACTATGGCAGATCTAGATAAAACAATAAAGAAGAAGAAATATTATACTGATGATAAATGTGCATATTGTTAAGACTATGATTTTTGAATTGTAATATATGGTTGTGAAACTGGATCATTCCAAAATCTGAAGGAAGAAAAATATGCCTTTAAACTGTGCTGTTAAAAAAACTGAGAATACCATAGACTAGAAGAAGAACAAATAATTCCATACAAGATAAAATAAAGTCAGGCTGTTCAGCAGAAGCCTGAAAAATGAAACTAACACTTAAATATTTTAAATGCGTAAGTCAAAAACCAGTTTGGAGAAGATCCTTTAGACATTTTTTTAAAAAAAGACAAAATATCTAATTGTTATTAATAATAGTTCAAGCATGAGCTAAGAATTCTGACCATCATTGTGAAACATTCATAAACAGTATCAGAGTTTCTCGTTAGAGCTAGATTGATTCTCTCTTTGATTTGCTTCTTGTCCTAGGTTAGCCCCATCTTCTTTGTGGCAGCTTCTTAGATCCTGGAACACTACTATCATGTCACCTCTAGTCCTTCTTGTCATTAAAGTAGACCAGTAGTGGGATTCAAATTTTTACTACCAGTCCAGTGGGTGTGGGTTGGTGGGCATGGTAGGAGAAGGATACAGTAAACTCTCCAGTCAGAGGTGATATTTTCTGGTTTTCTGAACTACTCAAAATTTCCACTACCGATTTTCCAGAACTGGTCAGAACCTGCTGAAATAGACATATCCAATTCCTTCAGATGTTCTTCATACGTTTTAGCCTCCAATCCCCTAATTATCTTTGTTTCTCTTCTCTGCTCTCTTTCTCACATCCTGACATCCTTGTTTTTATATTGTGGCAATCAAAACTGGATGAAATATTCCAACTGTGGTCCTACCAGGTCATTATAAAGTAGTACTAACACCAGAGGTGGTATTTAGCAGGTTCTGACCAGTTCTGGAGAATCGGTAGCAGAAATTTGATCTTTGATTCTATCCCTCTGTTAATACAGCATAGAATTGCACCAGTTTTTATGACAGCTGCAGTACACTGCTGGCTCATATTTAAGTGATTGTCCATTAGGACTCCAAAATTTCACAGTTACATCTATTAAGCCAGGTGTCATTTATTCTATGCCTATGCATTTGATTTTTCTTGCCTAAATGTAGAACATAGACTTTTTTCAGCATTAAATTTCATTTTGTTAGATGGAGCCAGTGTTCAAATCTGTCAAGATCCTTCGATATCTTGCACTCATCTTCTGGAGTATTGGTTATTCCTGCCATCTTGGTGTTACCTGCAAATATGATGAGTACCCCTCATCTAAATTATTGATGAAGTCATTGAACAATACTGAGCTAAAGTCACAGTCCTGAGGTATACAACTGCTTACCAGATTAATGTGGTCCCATTTAGGATTACATGTTGAGCATGGTTGATAAGGCAGTTAGGAATCCATTTGGTGGTGGTGTTGTCTAACCCATATTTTTCTATCTTACCAAAAAGTAGTATACTTTATCAAATTCCTTACAGCATTTCTCTGGTCCACTAATTTTGTCACTTTGTCAAAGAATGCAATAAAATTCGTCTGGCATGATCTGTTTTTGACAAACCCATAGTTATGACTTTATTTCCTTCTAAGTAAAAAACAGATGGAAACAACTGAAAAATAAGAAGAACCAATAATTCAACCCAAAATTCCATTATGGTCAATGACAGCAAGATTAAAAAATACAAAAATAATGACCCATCTACAGCAAAAGCTGTGTATGAGTTATATGAAATCTTGATGCTAAGACTTTAAAAAAATGAAGAAGAAAAATTAAATAATGTACCAGAAACAGACACATAAAATATAAGATATAAATGCAATTTTAAAAAGTAACAAAAAGGTTACACAATATCATCCCTACACGATTAGGAAATCTTATGTCTTCTTACAGAAATTCCTGCAGCAGAGCGTAACAGAAACAATTGATGATGAGAGAATTCTGATTTGCAAGCAGGAACTAAACTTCCTCTCTCTCATGATAATTTTGCTTTTATTAGGAGGTGATAAAGGTATGCCTATCCAAAACTTTATGTAGAAAGAGCAGTGGAAGAATACGGGAGAGGGGTTTTCAGATTCATTTGAACTACAAGGATATCATCAATCAGTAAGTTGGAAGTGACTGAATAAAAACAACATGTGAACAAAATCAACCAATCAGTAGCAGGATTTGTTTATTTAACACATTTACATAGTCAACCATCTTCTAGTCAACTCTAGGTGGCTCCAGAATTAATCTACTACTCTTGTCTCTCATCTTCATTCCTACACTTTTTGTGACAACAATAACCACAATGAGAATCAGATATATACATTGCAAGGCTTATACAGAATAACCTATTTGCTTTTTCTTTTTAGTGAATTATAAATTTAGAAACATATATTCATGCTATTATTTCTTCTTACCTATTTTCTCATTATACACTTGAATATTAAGAGAACAACTCTGAATTATTTGGAGAACAATACTTTTTCATGGACAAGTTCCTTTATACAGTATATTATTCTAACCATTGTAGTACAGCTGCAAAACATTTTTATTCACTAAATGAATCATCTTATTTGCAAGACTGGGAGAAAACAGATGGCTCCTCTCTTTATGCTTTGATTTTTAGCCATTTGAAATTCTTTCATCATTAGTTATACACAAGATATCTGTAAAATTAGCACATGTTAAAGAAAGGAACATTAATGAAAATCAAAATGTTCTAAATAGCTCTGGGGAAAAAAGTGAGAAAGAAAAGTGTCCAGAAAAAGTAAAGAAATTGCCATTTTGAACAGTTTGTGTTGTAGTGCATTCTGTCCCTGCTGTATATCATTTCCTGTTCATCATCAGTAAAAACAGGAGGTATGTTTTACAGATGGGACTGTTGTGCATATCTAGATATGCATATGGTTTTAATTCTAGGTTCTAAGCAGCAGTGGCCACATTTGGGAGAAGAAAAGGTCATGCACAGTTTAACAGCACTGGAAGGAGTCTCCCCACCCCATCATCCCCTCCTAAAACCATTTACTATTCAAGTGAAGGTATAGGAATACTTTTCAGTCCAAGATAATTGCAAGAACATTCATTGGCAGAGTAAAATCTAACCTGTTTTAATACCAGTCCCTAAACATTACAGAGTTTGGATTGTCAAATAAAGGCTGCTAAGCAACTTTTTTGAGAATATAAGAAAGAAGGGAAGGAAGGAAGGCTCTTCCATAAACATTGATACCAACATGTTAACTTGTTAACCTTCCAAGTTGAAATGGATATGCTTTTTTAAAAAATTGTTTATTTTCCTTGATCATGTAATGGCAGTATCATTAGAAGCAAGGCAGAGTCAATCTGGACCAGGTTTCAGAGAAATTATACATGGTTGACATATCAGAAGCTGAGTTTCATCCATATGTTATGTGAATGAAAAATTACTAAATTAGATTTATACTAGGCTTGAGGTATACCATCAGACACTGTTGAACTGTTGTGATGCCCTGTCACATTGCTTCTTTAATACATTTTGTTTCTAGGATTAGAACTTAGAACTTCTGGTATAGAACATTCCATGTTAATCATCATCAGAGGCAATCCAAAGAATTGTGAAGTTTCTTTTGAACTAGACAATATAATACTAAACAACATAATCTGAACCAATGGATTAATATCCAAAAGAAGGGAAAGCCATAGATCAGCTCCAATGTAACATAAGAACAAATAATGTAAAAACAAACCTGTCAGAACAGACCAAGTCCAGCATTCTATTTTTTCACAGTAGCTAACCAATTGGCCCCGGAAGATGGTGATGAACACATACCCCTTATCCACTATTGTTTCTTTGTAACTACTATTTGGAGCTATGGTAATATTAAGTCTTCAAGACTAATAGCTTAGAAACCAAAGGAATTTAATGTTCTCTTAAACCATGTATGCATACTAATGGATATTAAAATCTTCTTGATAATGAATTGCATAGATTAATTGTGAATAAGAGTTTTCCTTTCTATTTCCTTTCAATCAGATTTACTGGAAGAAGTCTGGTTTTAGTTTTGGAAGGGAAGGAAAAAGGTTCTTTCTATTCTTTTTCAGGGTTTCTTAAAGACATAGTGGACATAAATAGAAGTGTTTGCCTCTTGACCATTTATAATGTGTTATAATGATATAATGACTAGTACAGTGATATAAAATCATCTATTAACAGTACTTCTGTGATGCATGCATAGGATTAAGGTGCATTGGCTTTTCCCAATCCATTATTACTGGCAACCAGTTAAACACTTCCCCTTCCCTCCCTCCCACCCTTCCCTCATGGATTTTATGAGAAAGAGAAATCCTGTCAACAGTGTATTGATGGCGTGGCACTCCTAAGCGCCAGATAAACCTCAATTGATGGCTTTATGTAGATGTTAAGCAGTTAAAAGAACTATGCAAGAGCCAAAGTATACTTGCCATGGAAACAGAAAAAGCTCTTTTTTGGAGAATGGCTATCTTCTGGAAACATTAGCAGCCCTGAATTCCTAGATACACATTCCAAGAAATTCCTTAGATTTAAGAATTATCTTATTATCAAACATCAAATATTAGTGTTTCCATTGGCAATTGTAAATCTCAATCTCTCTCTCTCTCTCTCTCTCTCTCTCTCTCTCTCCCTCCCTCCCTCCCTCCCTCCCTCCCTCATACACACAGGAGATTGGCCTGGAGTATTTTCTTTCCTGCTTCTCTTTTTTCAGCTCCCATTTGATCACTACCTTTTGTTCTTTTCTGTTAACCTTGAAAGAAGGTTATGCTATATGCCATATTTAGATGGAAAATTGGGATGAAGGTATTTGTACATTATCCCTTTATACATTATCCCTTTAACATTAATACTATAGTGTGTTTCACTATAACTTACATGAAGATCCTTCAGATTTTTGAAATCTCCATCCTTTATTTCAGTTATTTTATTGTTCTGTAAGTCAAGTAGAGTAGTATCTGGGGGAAGATCTTTCGGAACTTCCTTCAAACCTATAAGGGGGCAGGGATGAAAGATTATTACAAGCAAAAGAATAAAGATACCTGAAAGAAGTTAATTATATTTTAGACTTTCAACTTAACCAAAACTACTGCAAACAAATATACACTAGACCTTATTATCTAAAAGTTATGAAAACAAATTCATATTCAATTTGTAATATAAATCATTGTGATCCTTTCTCTTTTTTTCTATGAGGAATTTCTGAAAGCACATACAGTTGAAATGCTATTCATATTGATGTGAAAGGATTAAGAAGCCAATCCTAATCATAGTTCCCAATTTCATTAATATTCTCAGATATTCATCGCTTTTTCATTTTTCACTATTGCTAACTAGTGGTTTATGCATGCATGCATGTAAAATAAATAAAAAAGTTAGGCAAAAATTTAAGTTCCATGTTCTAATTATGGTCAGTTAGAACTAGACTATAATTCTGTGCAACAATCTGTGGCCAGACTTGGAAACTTTCTCAATGTCATATTCTTCAGGTTTCACCAGACAAATGTTTGAAGAAAAGTCTTGTTTGGGTTCAGTTACTTGTCAAGATTAAATTGTATATAATTAGTATGGGCAGATCAAGAATTTGTTTAATTGGATATGTATCCTACTAAAATAAACTCTGAAATTATTTCTGTAATGATCACAATTTCAAAATGCATTTCAAAAAGGACTAATATGCTCACATGACTGATCACAATTTAAAGGCTCATTTTATTGGATTAATAAAAGCTAAACATATTTCTTGATTAAATATATGATTTTTATTATTTCTTTTGAAAGGCTATATTCAGGTTGCATGTGTTTGTGTATGTTTATGTGAATATGTGCATATGTATTTATGTGTTGTGTGAAGAATGTATTTCTACTTATCTATCTAAGCTTCAATACCATCAGACAGATTGCTTAAAATGTGCAGCCATTTTCAAATACAGTTTACATGGAATTAAAATTATTTCATACAATCTCACTTTATCCATAGTCTAAATGACCTATTGTATAGTCTTGTAGAATGTGTTCCTGGGCTCTATGTTATTATTGCATGACCAAAAAAAATAGGATCACACAACTATGGAATATAAAAATAGGGTTTTTAGTATTGTTTTGTAATAGAATAACAAATTGTAAAAAGATAATTGAAGTGACTTAACTTGTTGATCATCAATTTAACTTTATTTTAGCAGATTTATATCTCAAATTTTTTTTCCATCAAAAAGCCAGTATGGCATGAATGAATTTCCAGATGTCTCCCTTCTAGGCACTAAACACAGTTAAAGCAATTTATGTCAGAAGTTAACTATATCAAGTACATCATCTATGTAGCAATTTCTTTTGCAGTATTCCATATTTTCTTTTTTCCGGGATTCAAATTGCACAAAATATTTGAGTAAAGCTAATTTGTGATCAGTCATGTAATCAAGCTGAAACCTGTTATGATCTACTACATTATCTTTCAGCAGGCCCTTTGTTCTGGATGCCTTATATGATGCAGTATATTCTATCAAGGTATAAATTGCACTGATGAGCAAAAAAAGTGCTTAGAATATGAGATATGCTAATCCTTAATGGCATTTTTAAAGTTCCGATGTGCCAATCATTGTTGCATTTGGTGATAATGAATTAAAAATGTAATGATTGCTGCTGTATTAAGAAAGTATGATACTTTGTATTTAAAATATCTAATGTGGTTTATTATTTTTGCTTAATTATATGAAATATATCATTTTTGCAAATATTATCAAAATTAAATAGAATTAAATCAAAACTGTAACACTTCCAGATTCTTACTCGTCCCTTTTATCCAATACTTTTTCAGAGAAAGTAATTCACTGTTGGTTTCCTGCTGTTTAAACCACAAATTCCTTGCCTCTGTTTCAAAGCCTAAATCCTATAAATTGTGAGGCGGTAAAAATGAGCTGTGAACTTTGTCTTGGTTTTAATACCTAATGAGCATTTGATTTTTAAGGATTAAGATAAGACACCTTGCCACATATGTCATTTCTTAGCTGTCAGATTTCTTACAAACACAGGTTGAATAAATTTGTATAATTTAGCCTTTCTGGATTTTTATCAGCTTATGATACTGTACATGAAATAGATCCAACCTTAAGAAACCATGTGGCAATGATTGCTTTTCTGTAGCATTCCTCCATTTATTATTCACACATGACTCAGGCTTAGCCTAATGATCAATATATGTTGATTGTTTTTTTCTTTTATAGAATAAATTCTAACTGCCAATATATACAAAGTCTAACATAGTCATATTTCTAAAAGGGAACTTCTGAAAAATGAAGGAACTGGTAACATAGAAGTTGGAAGGATAATCATGAATATCAAATATTCCAGAACTGAAGGGTTATTTGAAAGTTCATTTAAAATCCCAATAACAGAAACTTAGAAGATAAAGAAATTAATATCAAGTCCAAGGGATTCCCAAGATGGTCAGTAGGCAGTGTGGTAAAGAAAGTATTAGAGAAAGGGATTTGTTTGCAAATGGTAACAAAAATATACAAATACTTGCAAAAAATACAAAACTAGAAGAAAATAGCAATGGATGCAAAACAGGATATTAAGAATATATTAAAATTAAAAAATCTTAAGTTTAAATAGTTTAAACATTTAAATACATCAGCTGGTGAAAATCAGATAGAAAGATGAAAGAAGTAAGTTTTCCAGAGAGGTTTTAAATATGAATATTTAGCTTTTTTTCCCCTGAAATACTGAAAACAAACAGAGCACTAGATTCATTCCAGATGGTATCCATCTGATAGTTCTGAAAGAATTCAACTATGAAATTGTTTATCTTCTAATAAATATACGTATCGTGTTGCTAAGAAGGCCTCCATCAGAGAAGAATGGGAAGCCAACATGATGGAAAACAGAGAATAAAAATAAATTATACATTCTTGCCAAAGGAACCATACAAATGGTTAGATTCCTCCTGTACTGGGAGTAATGCCTTTTAATGAACCAAAATGAGTGGTGAGCTGCAAAATTGCTATTCTTCTGGGGCCACCTAAATTCAAATAACCAATTGACTCTTACAAATACTAATTTGAGCAAATTCTTGAAAATAAGTCACTCAGAATGTAAGAAAAGTAAAGGTAAAGGTTTTCTCCGTCCAGTCATGTCTGACTTTAGGGCAAGTGCTCATTTCTGTTTCTTAGCAGAGGGAGCCAGTATTATCTGAAGATACTTCCATGGTCATGGGACCAGCGTGACTGTACATTGAGGTACACAGAACACTGTTATATTCCCATTGAAGTGGTAGTTATTTGTCTACTTGCATTTACATGCTTTTGAACTGCTAGGTGGGCAGGAGCTGAGGCAAGTAACAGGAACTCACGCTATTGTGCAACACTCAGGTCTCGAACCCAGAGCGTCAGTTTTCCAGCTACAAACTCAGCATCTTTAAGTTGCTAAACCATTGTGCCCCTAGAATCAGTGAATCAATCCGCCTTTGTCTATTTGAATGGAATTATAGCTGTGGATTCAATTAAAATATGATATTGTGGATGCAACAAAGAATTGGGAAATCTATGTGTACCCCTCCCCGTGTGTGTGTGTGTGTGTGTGTGTGTGTGTGTGTGTGTGTTTCCTTAAGACCAGTTATGAAATTTAATCTCCACTCAAATTGTTATACAGTTAAATCAGTACTTTCACTAACTACCAAATTTGGCCAACATGCAATTTAAAAAATATGTCTATGCAATTAACATGCAATGGAATAATATTTTACTAACTAATTGATTAGTTCAAGCACAATTTAAGCTTATACAAGAAGTGGTACTCAATATTTTGATGTTTGGCAATAATACCATTTTCTAGTTTTGTCAATTAGAAATGGAGAAATCTGCAGAGCAGCAATGAGCCTTGCTATAGCATAACAACTTTAATTCACTTGGAGTTTGGGGAACTTCTACTGCTGACTGCAAAGCTTTGCTGATGTGGGAAGAAAGGAAGGCAGATTTCCTATTTATTTAGCCCAGTAATTTGGAATAGAGCAACATATACTTAGGTATACGAGCAATGCATATCATTTGTTACAATTATAAAATATGTTGATGAATTGGGATATAATCTTTGAATCTTTGACAGGACATTTGAGCAGACAATCTGTGGAGCTCTGTCGTATCCTTTGGAATTACTTCTGGCAACACAGCTACCTAGCAGGCAACCTAACAATTTCCTCTTTTACAGTAAGGACAGTATTTATCTTAAGAATTCTATAAATATATGTAAATGGAACACTTCATTGAAATAAAACTATACTCAAAATTCCATAGCATCATTTGTAGTTACGTCAACCATTTCATTTTAAAAACATTAAAAAAACATTTTAAGAAAAAGTCAACTATGAATACAAGATAGATATATCCTTTAGAAGTTTGTGAAACCATCACAGGATTTTAAACCTACATATGTTTCTCTTATCTTTTGCATGCTAAGCTTTTTGATAAGCAAAAGAAGCATCTTAACTGCCTCTACTCAGGTATTTTCAGAACTGAAGAAAATATAATTCAGGCAATAATTCAGTGCAGATGAATATAGATAACGATTAATATACACCCATTTTTTCAAATGTTTATAAAACAATCCTTTAAAAGGTGTTGGATGAATGGTCTGATTCAGGTATTATCAAAAACATTGTATATGCATATACTATAAGTAAATCCAAAAATTATATCCAGAAATTCATAATGTGCTAAAAAAATTAGTATAGCCTACTGTTTAAATGTTTATGTAATTCTTATGATTCCAGTAGGAAATTTAAGAAAACTTGAAATTCCTTTTAAGATATAGGGCCAAAAGTCTTCAGTTAACACTCCTATTTTATTTTTCTATATACTGTTTATCACTTAAGAATGATGCAACTCATAATGTGAACACAAATACTAAACCAAAATTTTGTAATGTAGAAAATAACTTTCAAAGAGTTTTCAGTTCATGGCTTACTTTGTCGTCACTGCCTTTATATACGAAACATAGTAGGATTTCAGATTTATGGCATCAATATTTGACATTCAACTTGTTTTAGAAATGAATTATCAGGTGATGATGGCACTTCTTTTCAAGCAAGTGAACGATATAAAGATAAATTTCAATTTTTTGGCATCCTAAATGGTTGAGAATGACCGATGAATACAAATATTTCCTAACTTTCTGACAATTACATGATTTCTGTATAGCTATATAGCTATATTTCTACTAAATAGCCAAAGCCTCTGGAAAATGACCTCTTACATAACTTAAAGAAAGAAATATTAAAACATGATTAATGTGCTTACATATTAGAAACAGTTTGTAACTGGAATAAAGATCTGAAATGATGAGAAGACCTGAAGACAGAAAACAACTCAGGAGATAAAAAGCTATTTCCATTATACTTGCAACTTACTATAGTTGAAGGAAATTAGGAAAACTTTAAAATATAATGATATTATAGCCTTTAAATTCAACATTTTTCATTTGTGTTCTGATTATTTATTATTGATACATTGCACTGAATTGTTTTTCTTCTACCTCAGCCAGTCTTAAAAAATACATCTCCAACATGGGTAGAAAGAGGACAAAGTAGGTTATTAATGGTACATGAATAAATTGCAGTTAAACCAATGAATTATATGAAGTCCCCATTATCACATCTCCTTATTTAATTATATGATATCCCTTTTGTTCTTCATATGATAAGAAATAAAAGACAGGATAAAATGAATGGAAAGGGACTGGAAATCCAGGCCTTATTTTTCTACATGTTGATAAGATTATTCAACATAACATCACATATTTCAATTTATTTAGAGGAAATTCAATACATTGAACACAGCAGAATTCAAACTCATTTAAATCATCCAAAACAAGCATTTCATTCAACTTACCTAAATCAGAACACTGAACAACCCGGAGGTGGCACTGACAACGAAATGGGCATGTTGGAATAAGAGGATATCTTTCAGGTTCAGGCGTTCCAGATCCTGCTTCATCTTCAAGCATAAAATCAAACAAGCCTCTTTGATAAAATGGTTTGGCCAAGCAAAGTGGCAGGAATAGAAGAAAAAGGATAGCCAGTTTCATGATTTAGTTCATCTATTCAACAGAGCAGGAATGAATCTAGAAGTCAAAGCAAAAGTGTACAAGATGAAAACATAGTTTGGGTATCTTTTGCACATTTATCATTTAAGAAGCTTCTGGTGTCACAGTATTCTGGTGCCATTGTCCAGATGTCAAAAGTATCCAAAGGATCCAGTACTTTGTCAAACTGACAACAGATCATTGTGTTGTTAAAACCCAAACTGTACCTATTTCATACATGTGTGTGATGCCATAATGCATATACTAAGGAGGCAGGGCTTGTATTACAGCAGCATGATGCATCTTGTGTTATTTGACACCTTCTGACCCCATGCAAACACTTCCAGTTATGGTATTTCTGGTCCATCTGTTCTTGCATGATATTGTTATTATATCTTATATTATATAGCTTTCAGGTAGGGTTTGGATCTTAAAAATGTTCTTTATTGAATTATTTTAAAACATTTTTAGCATTGTGGGTTTTTTTCCTTTTAAATGAATAGAATGAAAGTAAAATGTGGGCATGTTTGTCTATCTATCCACATGTAAATATAATGAGGGGTTGTATTTTCACAATTTATACAAGAAACAGAGAACCATTGTAACCCAGAGTTACAAAAAGCAACATAGAGACAGTTATATAAGTGATTTGACTTACATTTAATTAATAACAGATGCCTTTACTAGAACAATAATGATGAATAAAAGTCATACAAACTTTCCATCTCTAATTTTTAGTCAACATAGAAACTGGACTGAAATCTTTTCCCCTTACATTTTATATTTGGATGATTATTCTGAAGATCTGAAACTGGGGTTCAAGTGGGTAAGATTGACTGGGGTTCAAGTGGGTGAGATTGGTTGACTGATTTTGACAATCAACAAAGTTATCAGGTAGTAATACCCTGTGAAAGGAAGTTTTAATTCTTAAAATGAACTTTATGTATCATTTTAAAGAGAAAAAATCTTCAGTTATCATAGTAGCACAAATTAACTTTAAGCTGATAAAATGGTAGGGTACTTAAATTAGTAATTAGGCAACTGATATTTCATTGAAGATTCAGGTCTTCTGGGGTGAATGATGCAAGAAGAAATGGGAGGAGCTGAAAATATTTCTATAAATAGAAATGTATCAACAGTAGAGACTTTCAAATTTCTAGGTATATCATATCACATGACCTAAAATGGACACCTAACATCAAAAACATCATCAAAAAAGCACAACAAAGAATGTTCTTTCTGCACCAACTCAGAAAGCTCAAACTGACCAAGGAGCTGCTGATACAGTTTTACAGAAGAGTTACTGAGTCTGTCACCTGCACCTCTATAACTGTCTGGTTTGGTTCTGCAACCCAACAGGACACACAGAGACTTCAGAGGATAATTAGGACTATTAGGACAGTTACTAACAATCTGCCTTCAATCGAGGGCTGTGCATGAGTCAAAAAGAGGGCTGTGAAAATATTTATAGACTCCTCACATCCCAGACATAAACTGTTTCAACTCCTTCCCTCAAAACGACGCTATAGAGCACTGTACACCAGAACAACTAGACACAAGGACAGTTTTTTCCCAAAAGCCATCACTCTGCTAAACAAATAATTCCCTCAGTACTGTTCAACTATTTACAAAGTCTGCACTACTATTACTATTAATCTTCTCATCACTCCTTATCACCCATCCTCTCCCACTTGTGACTGTATGACTGTAACTTTGTCACTTGTATCATTATGATTTATATTGACTAGTATGATTTGATTGCTTATTGTACCCTATGACTATCATTAAGTGTTGTACCTTATGATTCTGGACTCTTGATGAATGTATCTTTTCTTTTATGTATATTGAGAGCACCAAGATAAATTCTTTGTGTGTCCAATCACACTTGGCCAATAAAGAATGAAGAATTCTATTTGATATATAAAGCTCCTTTTGTATACTTAAATTGTATAAAAGAGCAAAAGCAAACAAAAGCCAAATCACAAAAAAGATTGATATCATTGTTATTGATATTAAAAAGTGAAGCCACATTCATTGCTCAATAAACAAATGAAATGAACACAAATGTGCACTGTTCTTAATACATTTTTAGAATAAAATATGTTGTCTTTTGTTATTTCATTGGATCTAATTTAGATGTGGCATGAATTCTGCCCTTTTATTGATCCTAATTAGGGTCAATAATTATTTATTAGCATAAGTCTTATGAGACAAATGGTTGACAATTGACAATTATTTCCCACATGAACACTGACATTATGAAAAGGAAAAATGTTCTTTGTTTGCGCTTTATATATAATTGTGGCATGAGACCTTGCTATTTGCCAAAAAGATATGAAAACTATATCTTATACCAAAAAACCGTCATGTCATTTTATTGAAATAGTAATTTACTAGGTGATCTATTTAATTATAGGAAAATTAGAGTGGAAGTAACAAAATTATGGAATTATATTTTCAGAAAAATCCTTGTACAGAGTAGGGAATGAAATCCAGCCAGGTTTTCCAGAGGTAGAAATTATTCAAGACTTAGAGAAATTTTTGCTTCTCTCTTAAGCTTTCCATAAATGGTTGCAGAGAATGAATCACAGAATGGAGAAAAGAAGGAAAAAAACTCCTTTCTACTTTGTGAAACATTGGATTATCCTCACGATTCCTTCCTACCTTTTGTTTCCATAATCATTTTATGGGAGAAAGGCAGGAGAGGAAAATGCCCCAAAATGACCTCTTAAGTTGCATTATGGGATATAAACTTCCACCCAGATCTCCCAGTTCAGTCCTAACACTCTAGAGCTAACTACCTCAACCCAAAGCTATGTAGATAGTTTAGATTGGAGTGTCCAGAAATTTTAGCCAATTTCCTTATTTTGCATTAGGGTATAGTGAATAAATATATATTTTTATTTCAAAAGAATATCAGGGGAATACATGTCTAGGGCATTAAAATTAAAATATATACTAAAATTGATGTTTTGGCATATAGACTAATTCATTCATTCTCTAATAGTAATCAAATATCATGACATTATAAAACAAAGGGGTGCTTTGAATTAGATGGTTTATACTTTAAAGGATTGTTTTCAATTAAAGATTAACTAATTTTAATTATTGGTTTGGAGGTATAAATGGTATATGAATATTACATTTAAATCACAACCAATTCTTATACATTATTAAAATGCTGTCTTTAAAAGCATTTTAATAATCTAATAATTAAACAAGGTCATTCTGCCCTTAACAATGGGCTTATCCTGCTTTATTCTTTAGTAACTGTAGAATCTTTCATCCATTTCTCCATGACTGCATAATGGGAGTGAGTCCCAAGAGCCTAATGAAAAATTCTTCTGCAAAAAATTTGAATAGGAAATTCAGAATAAACATGCATGGTTATGAAGAAACATATAAAGCCTTTGAATTCCTCAATCAACAAAAACTTCAAATGAATTATGAGAAACATATTTTGAAACAAGACATTACATTACTCTGAGCGCAGAGGTGGTACTGCATACTATATTTTGTTGTGGTATTTCTATCCAGAGTTTTAGATGAATCAGCTGTAGCCACAATCCTTGGAATAAATATTTAACTTAACTGACTGGTAGAAGACAATACTTTATCTTGCTTTTAGACAAGAGGAAACTACAGTTCTGTTTTACTTCAGAATTATCCTTTTACAATCATCCTTTGATAAAGTAAATGGATTTCAGCTGTAAATGGATTTCAGGTACCCCAAACTTACTAGGTATTTCTAACTGGTGAGTTAAATATGGTATTCTTCAGGATGCAGTCAGAGTCTTAGAGAAACACATGAATATCAATTTTCAGATGGAGTGAGTATCTGCTTTTACAGTTCTTTGCGTTTACCACTGTACAGCTCCGTTTGTCTTTAGTACTGTTCAGCTGAGAATTTCCCTGTCTAAAATATGTAATCACTACGAACGAAATATTCAACTTTAGAATGTTTTGAAGGATCTTTGATCCTATGAAGACTGGATTCCCCTTTTATTTAAAATAATCATTGGGAAGAAAAAGATTCCAGTTTTTCAAGTGCAAATATGAAATCTCACAGTTCTTTCATCTTACAATATCACCCACTCCAAACTCCACAATGCAAGAAAATCCACAGCTGCAAAATGCCTTAAGAAGCATTCTAAAAATAACAGCAACAAGGATCTCCCTAAAATGTAAAATATGGTCAGGAAATATAAAATGTTCTCAGTAATGTTCTCAAATATTACAACATTTCCCCCCACAACATTTCTCCCACAACTAAGAACTTTTCTTACACTCTCAGAAAGATTTTGCTTTTTAAAAGTGAAAATACATGCAGAACGATTATTAATGAAAGCCATACCTTTTCATCCAGGGATTTGCAACAGGCACTCTTGGAGCTGAGATGCAATTAACCGAAAAGAGCCAGGCAGAAGATCCTGCAGGTGTGGAAAGGAGGAGGGGTAGTTGAGTGAGGCGAGACTGTCACTTGGTAAGAACCCCTCCTGCTTCTTCTATTCCATAGCACAGTTAAAAAGCAATGTTTTCCTCAATGAAAAGACTCCAGGCTGCTGACACCCACAGTACATCATATGGTAATGATATGTCTCCTGAATTGTAGCCAGAAACTTTATCACCCCCCATTTTTTTTCCTTTTTCCTTTATTTCTTTTTCATGTGTTCAACTTCCTAAATACTTTTACAGATTAGCAAGAATAATGGGTGTCTTTTTTTTTCCTTCACCATTCCCAACTATGAACTTAATTTGAGGATTTTCTAGCCTTGGAGCATTTTTTCCCAGCTTTGAGTTATATATCAGAGGAAGAAACTTATTCAGAAAGGTTTTTTTTTTTTAAAAAAATATAATACTGAAAGAAGTGGATGATGAGTTAAATTTGACATGATATAGAATTACACTAGAGAGTAAATGCTAAGTAATAGATTTTCTTGCAAATATCTTTTCTATAATTACAATAAAGTAATTTAATAGGTGTTTATAAACTGTTTGGGACCATAATCCTATATCCCTTACTTCTACTGAATATATTTCTAGAATGATACTTCTCACAAATGATCACAAATGTATCATACTGCCAATTTTAAATAATACAATGTGTTATACTGACAATTTTAAATAACACAATAAGTGCACAATAGATATTTGCATGAACCAAATTCTAACATAGGCCCAGCAAAATCACATTTTTATTTCTTTATTTTAATTTGAAATGATACATATCATACCTTTTGATGATATATTGTAATGTGACTCTCTGAACTGCAAAACCTGTACTTTGCATGTGCCAGTGAGGATAACAATAATAATTGGCCTTTAAACTTACCCATAATTCCTGTTTTAGGGGGGTGGAAAGAGCCCAGTGTTGTTTGCTTCATAGCACACAGGACCAGGATTGAGAGCTAACTATCAAATAAATATATGGGACTTCTCTGGATTTTTACTTTCCTTGTATAAAATGAGTGGATTTGTGACTCTGTTTAGACTTGCACCATTCTCCATCCCTTCAGGCTGTATCCAGGTGTGAATGCTATCAGCTTAAGAGAGGAAGAGGGAGAGGTGTGTTATAAAACCTGGAGGTTTGGAATTAATAGTTCCTTTATTTGAATATGGTTAAAAGGAAACAAAAACTTCTTTAGGTTAAGAGGTTTATTCACATTTTACTTATATTGGTTCTGTCAGAGAAAACTGTTTTTTTATATTTTTATGTGGCTCTGCTTCCATTTCCTCACCCTTCCAAAGCATTTTAAGACAGTCATACAATTGTCACCTTGAAATATTAACATGCAGGCATCAATCAATGTTCCTTCCAACTATATAACAGAATAACAAAATAACAGAGTTGGAAATTATTCCATTTCAGACAAATGGTTGTCCAATCTCTTCTTAAAAACCTCTAGTGTTGGCGTACTCAAAACTTCTGGAAAAAAATCATTCTACTGATCAATTGTTCTAACTATCAGAAAAATTCTCCTTAGCTTAGTTTTCTCTTTAATTAATTTCCATCCATTGCTTCTTGTCCTGCCTTCGAGTGCTTTGAAGAATACTTGGTGGCAGTCCCTTAGATACTGGAACATTGCTATCATGTTCCCTCTATCCTTCTTTTCATTAAACTTGACATACTCAATTCCAATAAGAAGTCAAATATAATCCATCAGGGCCTTGAGTTGGCTTCTGAAATAACAAGAATCCATATTTCCACCCCATGTAGAAAAGGAAAACATTTGGTACATGCTATAACCATGATTATACATGCAATATGTCATCTAGGGGATGGGGTGGCATTAAATAGTACATAAAAATAGGGATTGGGAAGGAGGGTGAGATAATCAATGAAGAGAGAGGAGAAGGAAATTAACCAATGCAGGTTTTAAGGTTTTCATAGGAACTGCCAACATGTCTAGCATATGACTGGGTTTATTGACAAGACTCTAATAGAGGATGAAACCCCAAGCCCCTGAAACACCACTATCACAGATGTCAAAAAGGATGTGATGCTATTTGAGATTTGCCACTATGGATAATGAAGTGGAAACAGCACAATGGTGCTGATAACAGACACAAATGTGCTTGTGAAGGTGCCCCTAATGTTTCAGGATCACATGAATATAATATTTATTCTCCTTCTACTGATTTTGAGGTATTACAGGAGCTATAAGGAATTTGGCCCATATGGAGATAGAGATATTTCCATGATCTGACCTTGGAAAAAGAAGACATCTTTATCTAATTATCTGATCTGCTTAATATTAAAAGCAAGATCTGGTGTGTGCTCACCCATGTGTGCTGGGACCACAATCACATGTGATAAGCCCATCATCACTTTGGGTGCCACTAATTCATAAGTTGCTCTGGAACCTTCCCCCAGGGATAGATGTTGAAGTCACCCAAATGAAAAAAAAACTGGAATCTTCAACAGCATATCCAAAGTATCTTCCAGGGGATATAATGTTTCTCTATTCAGCTGTTACAATTAGGTGCAGCTTTTTAAGTTTGCCATGATTATGGCTGCAGCTCATTTCCAGCCTTGGGGTTATAATGACCAAAGGACCTAAAACCTGGGTGGACAAATTTCCAACAGGGCTCCCTTGTTGCTCTGTTGCCAGTTTTCAGATATAGAACAGAACAGAACAGAATAGACTACTTTATTGGCCGAGTGTGATTGGACACACAAGGAATTTGTCTTGGTGTAAATACTCTCAGTATACATAAAGAAAAGGTAGATTCATTAAGAATCAAGAATCATAACATACAACACTTAATGATAGTCATAAGGTACAATCAACAATCAAATCATACTAAGAAACAGTCAATATAAATTGTAAGGATACAAGCAACAAAGTTACAATCATACAGTCACAAGTGGGAGGGGATGGGTGATAAGGAGTGGTGAGAAGTTTAACAGTAATAGTAGTGTACACTTTGTAAATAGTTGAACAGTGTTGAGGGAATTATTTGTTTAGCAGAGTGATGGCTTTCAGGAAAAAACTGTTCTTGTGTCTAGTTGTTCTGATGTACAGTGCTCTATAGTATCATTTTGAGGGAAGGAGTTGAAACAGTTTATGTCTGGGATGTGAGGGGTCTGTAAATATTTTCACAGCCCCCTTTTTGACTCGTGCAGTATACAGGTCCTCAGTTGAAGGTAGGTGGGTAGTAATTATTTGTTCTGCAGTCCTAATTATCCTCTGAAGTCTGTGTCTGTCCTGTTGGGTTGCAGAACCAAACCAAACAGTTATAGAGGTGCAGATGATAGACTCAATAATTCCTCTGTAGAACTGTATCAGCAGATTCTTGGGCAGTTTGGCATATTTACCCAACACTTTTTTTATATAAATTGGTACTATTCTATATACAGCTTCATTTACCAGGAAAAGCTGGACACCAAGATATTCCAAAATTCAATCACCCAGGCCCAAGATTGCATAAAAATGAAATAATAAATAAAATTGTGCCACATTTATTTTAAGGTTAATTAACTATCATTTCCCAATTTTGCTGTCTTTATTAGGTTAAAAAATGGATTCTAAATAAAGGATTTATTCCCCAGTAGTCTTTTCAAAACCATTTCAAGTATGCTTTGCAAGTAATAAGTAATATCACAGTAAACTATGTACAAAATGTTTCCACTAAGTATACTGGAGACAGCAGATTGGCTTTATATTGACGAAAATATTTCTTGGACCTCAAAGGGAAGGTTCAGTCTGTCTGGAAACATTTTATTCCTTCTTCTGTGAAATCATATCTGAAAAATTCTTAATCAAAAATGAAAACACAATGTGGACTTGTGTTTATAATTAAAATAGAGAGGATAGTTAAATTGAACCTACTTGCAATTCAGGTCTGTGTTTTAGTTCAGTAATGTCTTATATTTCATCAAATACAGATAGAATACAATTCTGCAATAAAGCTTTGCACAGCATTGACTAGTATAACTCCAGGGAATAATCTTGACTGGCCTTATATTTTACAAGATACTTTTATGTATTTTGCCTTTACAAATGAAAAAAAAACTTCTAACTTTTGTTTTATTCCGTCCTACTAATGAACAAAGGATTTTCCCCATGTTATAATAAAGACCTGACATATGAAAAGGTCTGCATCATATAGAGCAAAATTATTTGGGTTTTAGATTAATAATGTTGAACACAGGCAAGATGAAATTATCGTTTGATCATCACAATTCTATATCACATGAAATGTTATATCTTGAAAGTGTGACACAGTCTCTGAGGAAGCAGATTGTGACTTAGAAGTGTTCTGGACTCCCAAATTCTGCTTGATAAAGGTAAAGTCAGGTAAAGGCACTGACTAGTCATTCATTATAGCCATTCCCTAGAGTAAAAATATTTGGCTACTGCAACTCATATGGTTAGTTTACTGCAATGTACTGTATTTTAATGGGATAGGCGCAGTGACTCAGTGGCTTAAAAGATGTCAGAGAAGTTTATACTCTGGCAGTTTGAGTCCTACCCCTATATGACAGAATGAGCTCCTGTCACGTGCCTCAGTTCCTGCCAATCTAGCAGTTTGAAAACATGTAAAGGAAAGTAGATAAATAGGTACCACTTTGGTGGGAAGGTAACAGCATTCCATATTTTGCCATATGCTTTGTGCTGCAGCATGATGTCACGCTGGCCAAATGACTACAGAAATAGCTTTGGACAGCACAGGTTGAATGGCTTAAAGAAACAGATGAGCACGATCCCCTAAAGTTGGCTGTGATTAGCAGAGTAAAACCCATAGGAACTCCTTTTCCTACTTTCCATCTTTGAAGACTATATATTTGGTTCAAAAGTCTGATTGATTATTGGTTGCTATGTTTTGAATAAACTCCATCATTATTTGGAATAAACTCCATCTTTACTGGTCTTCTATGTATGAATTCTTCAGGCCCAAGTGCATTGTTTTTAGTCACTACATCTAATTAACTGGGCTTCCTATTGCTAGGACAAGGTCTACAGGGTATTCTGAATGTTTAGCATTTAAGAATACAATATGCCCTTGGTCTGGCATATTTCAGATATGTTAGAACCATAAT